CCCCAAAACCCCAAAACCCCCAAAACCCCAAAACCCCAAAACCCCTGGATTTTATTAAAAAATTGAGGATTATAGATTTTTAGCTTCTGGTTCTTCTGACTTTTCTCTATACATTAATAATTATAAATTACTCTTGCTTTCCAGGGGCATTTATAACAGCTTGAGCTAGGTTCTTAAGACTATTTTGACTAAATGTGAGACATTGGAGTTTACTCTTGTTCTGTTTTTTTCTTCATTTCTTCTATTCTATCCATTGATTCTCTTTTTCTAAGATCTTCCTTCCTCATTCTTTCTTCTATTTCTTTGTCTTCTTTCCTCGCTTTTAGTTTAGCTTCTAAACGGCGAAGGTAGTATTTTTTCTTCAATAGATTTTCTTCCTTCTCCTCAATACTGTTGGTAGAGTCTGAGCTAGAGGAGGAGGTAGAAGGCCTTCTCTTCTTCCGCTTAGGCATTGACATTGGGTATCCAGGTCCATAAGGATGCATATTATATGGGTTCTGCCCCATTTGAGCAGGATTGTATCCTCCAAAAGGGTTAGCAGCCTGAGATTGTTTCTGCTGATCTAAAGCTTTCATCTCTCTTTGTACTTTGTGCGATCTTCTTTCTAAATTCCTATTTTCTTCCTCTAGAGAAGAGATTCTTTTAAGAAGTTGAGAATCTTCAGGCTTTTTAATTTCTTTGCTCATTGATTTTCTTCATTAATTCTTCTATCATTCTTTCATTATTCATAGAATCCTGAGGTGCAATCATGTTCTGATGGACTTCAGGCATTGGTTGAGAGAAAGAATATGGATAATGCTGGGTAGTTGGAACAAAAGGTACAGCATTTTGAGGATTTACTACGTCGTTAGTTCTGTCCAAAGGTTTCTCTCCTTTCCCTGTCTTTAAAGAACCCCTAGTTTTATTCTCCTCAGTCTTTGACTTGAGTCTAATATTTAGATGATGATTATTACTGGTAATTTCTTGCTGATACAGATTGAAGAACATTCTTTATATTCCGATGTTTATTAAGCACATTCATTCTAAAATCTATCAAATATATACCTCTTATTTCGTTGCTGTTGGAGTTTAGTAACCAAAAGTTTATTCTTAAGTTTGTTGTATCTATGCTTAATAGCAAAGAGTTACTTCTGAACTTGTACCATAAACTCATAACTTGAATTTAATCTGGAATGATCAGTCCTCCATTTGTCTTCTTGACTTGTATTATGTTTATTATATGCGGGGTATTGCATACTGTTGTTTATTAACCCTTCTCCAGCTTGTTTTAGTCTCCTGGATAACAAATTTAAGAGCATAAATTAGGTCTTACCCATATCTCTCTGAGGGAACTCTTCTTGTATTATTCACTTCTATATTTTTGTCATTTTGATTTCGATGAAGGCAAGCATTTTACAAGAAAAGATTTAAGAATGAGAGCGTAGAGATGTGACACTAGCACTGACCTTTTAAAGGAGAATTTTGAACTTTATATGAGTTTATATATTCATCCATTTTTAGAACTTTCTATATTTATGAATCATAGAGGGGTTTTGGGGTTTTGGGGTTTTGGGGTTTTGGGG